CGCCTGCCCGGCTGACCCGGTTCCCCGCCGGCCCAGCTGACCTCCCGATTTTCCCGGACATGCCCGGCTTTTGGGGATTTCCCCCCCGGACGGGGATTTTGAGCCCCCCAAAAAGCCGGACATGTCCGGGAAAATCCGGACGTATGGTAACCCTACTGTATTGCTCTCCCCGCAGATATCAGGGTGATTAAAGTCTCCCATGAGAACCAGGGCCTGCAATCTAGCAACTTCTGCTAGTTGCCAGAAGAAAGCCTCGTCCACCTCATCCCCCTGGTCTGGTGGTCTATAGCAGACTCCGACCACGACATCACCCTTGTTGCTCACACTACTCAACTTTATCCAGAGACTCTCAGGTTTTTCTGCAGTTTCATACCGGAGCTCTGAGCAGTCATAATCCTCTCTTACATACAACGCAACTCCCCCACCTTTTCTGCCCTGCCTGTCCTTCCTGAACAGTTTATATCCATCCATGACAGTACTCCAGTCATGTGAGTTATCCCACCAAGCCTCTGTTATTCCAATCGCATCATAGAGAAGGACAAGTGCTGTTGCCATGAGAGAAAGCTAAAGGAGAGAGCTTTTGGCAGAGTGCTGGCTGGAAAGAGGCTTCGAATTGTGGGAAGAAATTGCCTCCTGTTGTTTGATTCCTCTGGTGTCCAGAAAACAGGACTTTGCACAAGTCTTGTAAATAAACAGGATTTTCTAAAAGAAATAGGTGGCTCCAACAATTCTTCTCCTATGTTACCAGATTTGCCCGTTACTTTGGGGTATGTTCATTTATTAGCGTTACTCTTCTAGGGGGAGGGGGGATTCCTGTAATTCTATCAATGTACTGCTTGTGTCACGTGTGTTCTCATACGGAGCTCTACTTCTCCCTGCTGCAAGTCCCTTCCCAATGGAGCTATCCTGCAGGACCGAGGTTCCCCAGGCCTGGGTTCCTCCAGCCCCCGAATCTTCCAGTTGAACACACACACATTAACAGAGTGCATCTGAGAGGACTGGGTTAATCAGCACTCCCAAGCTGACCCCTTATATGTCCCTGTCCCTGGACTTAGTAGGCTGGGTCACTTCCAAGCTGCCACCCTCATATATCCCAGGTTCAACATGTCCCTATCTCCACTTTCACGTCACAATTGTTCTGGTCGTAACCCACTTGATGAGCAAACCCCACAGGGTTTTGGGGCGCTGCAGGGGTCTTTAGCTGGGGTACGAGGAGTGTTGCTGCAGAGCGAATGGGGAAGCCAAAAAACACCCATGAGGGGGAGACAGAGAGAGAGAGAGAGAGAGAGAAAAGCAACCAGCATAACCATGAAAGTTATTTATTGCCAGGTAATAACCACGGGGGAGCCAAACAAACAAAACAGTGATCATATTAAATGTTATCAATTATTATTTTAAATATTAATATTGATTATAAAAGTCAGGTTTAGAAAACTAACTGATCCCACAAATGACATGGTCTATGTGCAGGAAGGCAAGGAAGGGCTGGTGTGGGATGGGGTCCCACTTGAAGAGAGGGGTCAGAGAGTCAGCCGCAAAAGCACAGTGAGGAGAAGGACCCTGGGGATTGTAGCAGAGGGACCAGCACCATACCCAGTGATGGTGGTAGTGGGACTGGCACTGTTCAGAGTGAATTTCACCACTTTGAAAGTCACACCAGGCACATTCTTCCGGATCCAATCATTGTGGGCATTCGGGCGGTTGTAGACCCCAGGGGAATTGGGGTCAACATAGGATACCCCATTCTTTGTTTTGTTCAGGAACCAGCTCACAGTCCCAGCAAGGTACCAGGTCCCATCCTCTTCACACACCAGGGGTCCCCCGGAGTCACCCTAGAGGCAGGGAAAGAAATGGGGTTGGAGGGGAGAGGACCAGGCTCCATCATCCACAAGGGCCATGGTGGATTCTCCATCTCTCAATGGCTTCACATCCCCACTGGCTGCCTTTCCGGGAGATGCTTTATCCAGATACAAGTCTCTGGGCTCAGTGAAGGGGTAACTGGGTGCAGTTGTGGGCTGGGTTATACAGGAGGTCAGACTGAATGGACTGACCCCACTGACTTTGTACCCTATGACACATCCATGAGCTGTCTTGTCTAAACACTGGGGAATGAAGTCAGGGCTCAGCCCCTCCATCCAGGCCCACTGTTTCGTGGGTCCCCCCGACCCCGACACACAACACCAAGTCAACAGGGAGAAAGGGGCAGGAATAATGGTGGCCCTGATCTCAGTCAGAGAATCTCACCTGAGCAAAGCCTTTATTGCCGCCCATGGGCCCAGCACACAACATGTCCTCTTTGATGGGGTTCTCACCGGCAGGCTTTTCTAATTCTTTCCGGTAGTGATTGTTGCAGTCTGTGGAGTCTATGGTGAGAACCTCCAGCTCCTGCAGTGTCTCCGCTAGGTGAGAATTCACTGCAACGAAAGGCCCGAGGGCAGGGTGACTCACATGGCATGAGTGAAAGTCACATAAAAAGCTGTCGCATTAAGCATCTATAAGGGAGGGGAAAGGAGTGTGTTCTAGTGGGTTAAAGCAGTGTGGGGGGACTGAGTTCTATCCTGGCTCGGGAGGGGAGTGGTTGGAGTTTGGGGGGGGTGGGCAGTTGACCAGTTTAACACATGCTAGAGCCAACTACCCAGGTTTTAGGTGTTGCTCTGCTCAATTTTGCAACCCCAAACTGATTTAGGAGCCTAAGTCTTATTATAAACACTTGGGGCCAGATTGTCAAAGGGATTCTGGCATCTATAGGTGCAGGAAGGAGGCTAGTAGGGTTTGGAAATGCTTGTAGGAACCTATAGCAGCTGGCTCTTTGCAACCTATGTCTAATGGAGAGTCAATGGGAGTTATGCACCTAATCTGAACAGCTAGGTTAGAATACCCTGTTAGGTATACCCCCTGATACTTGTATTTATATCTGTACAGCTGTATAACCATATAACTGTATAACTGTGCCTGTATAACTATATAACCATACAACTGTAGCTCTATAAAGGTATAATTATACAATTGTACCTGTATAACCATATAACGGTGGCTGAACAACTGTATAACTCTATAATTGTTCCGGTATAACTATATATCTGTATAACCATATATCTGTGGCTGCATAATTGTATAACTGTCCAATGTACATACTTGAATAACTATATAGTTTTATAATCATATATAGTACTGTGTCTGTACAACCATGTAATTGTGGAACTGTAAAACTGTACCTATATAACTATATAACTGTTTAACCATATAACTGTGGCTCCAGAATCATACTGTATAATTGTACATCTGTATCTATCTAATTAGATAACTGTATAACCATATCATTGTGGCTATATAATCATATAACCATAGACCTGTATAACTGTACAACTGTACAATCCTAAATATTGCTATATAACCATATAGCTGTAATATACTACAGCCATACCTGTATACAAATATAACTGTGTAACTGTACAAATGTGGCTGTATAACATTAAGAAACGGCCATACTGGGTAAGACTAATGGTCCATCTAGCCGACAGTGCCAAGTGCTTCAGAGGAAATGAATAGCACAGGGCAATTTCGAGTGATCCATCCCCTGTTGTCCAGTCTCAGCTCCCAGCAGTAAGAGGGTTAGCGACACTCACAGCATGCGGCTCTGTCCCTGGCCATCTTGGCTAATACCATTGATGGACCTATCCTCCATGAATTTATCCAATTCTTTTTTTAACCCAGTGGTACTTTTTGCCTTCACAACATCCTCTGGCAATGAGTTTCACAGGTTGACTGAGTGCTGTGTCAAGAAATACTTGCTTTTGTTTGTCTTAAATCTGCTGCCTATTAATTTCATTAGGTAACTCCTAGTTCTTGTGTTATGTGAAGGGGTAAATAACATTTCCCCATTCACTTTCTCCATACCAGTCATGATATTATGGACATATATCACATCCCCACCTGTAACTGTGTATGTGTACAATCATAATATGTGCCTGTATAACCATATAACAATGTAACCATGGCTGTATAACCATGTATCTCTCAGTCTATCTGTGTACATATGGAGCTACAAAAATCACCCAGCCAGTAACCTTCATCCGGTGCTGGATCCTTCCCCTTCCCTTCCCCTCTCTAACAGCTAAGAGTCTGCCTCACATTCAGGGCGAATTTTCCCCCAACCAGTCACCCAGCAGGTGTCTCCAGCAGGCACACGGACGGAGGCGTCAAGCAGACACACGGGGTTGATGGTGGCCGTGAACGCAATCGGATTCTCCAGCTCCACCAGGGCGATGTCGGCAAGGAAAGTGCTACTGTTGTAGTTGGGATGGGGGACCACCCGCTTCACCGATGAGAATGACTTGGGTGGGATCTCACTGCCAATCTGTTTTTCACCCAGCTGCACCCGATATGCTGAAATGGCTACAGACCTGGATGCAAAATATCCAATTAGGGAACAGTTGCCCAGCAATGCCTCACGGGGACAGCTCGCCTGGCACTGAGATGCAGGCAGCTCTGGGGTGGAGCGGCTGGGGAACAGCCACACAGCGATGTTGCACAACAGGAAGCCAGTGGAAAGAGAGGGAGTCTTTCCAGAACAGCTGCAGTCACTGTCTCTGCCCTGCCTGGGGTACTCACGGATCGAAGCAATGAGCGGCTGACACCACCCAGCTCTCGGAGATGAGTGAACCGCCGCAGATGTGGAAGCCATTTTGCCGCACGCTGACCTGCCAGGGCCAGGCCCCAGCCTTGGCATCTTGACCATTGAAGATGCGCCCTGAGACCAACTGCTTACCACAGCCTGGGAAGAAAAGAGGGAAACTGCATTATCCCTGGGCAAGGGAGCTAAAGTGGGGAGAGTATAAATAATTATATGTTGTGACAGACCCAGACCAGTGGGGTACAGGAGTCTGGTAGAGGGCAATATACTGGTCACTGGATAAGTAGTTTTCT